GCCGAGGGACGTGCTCGGAGCACCCCAGGGCGCAGCGCGTGGGACGTTGCAATGCGCGTGAGCATCTCGGAGGCATGGAAACAAAAGCGTTTCCCCCCAGCCCCAAAACCGCGAGGCAGAGGCCCTGTGGGAAGCATCGGCTCTTTCCACCTGGTCTGGGGACTGAAAAATGAGGTCTGAGATCCAGCTGTTAAATCTTTCCTCCTCCTCTTCTCTTCAGGAACAATAAATCTGTCCAAGCGCCCTGCCAAGAGCACTTAGGGACACAGGGAATCCGTGAAATTTTATATACCCCATTTCTGTTCGCACGTTTAGGGGCCAAATTCTCCTCTCTCGCAACGAGGCCGCTCCGCCAGCCTCTGCAGACTCCCAGGCTGAAACAGAGACACCTTTGACCTCTCACTTCAGTAAAATGTCCCCTATACTGAGAACCTCAGCTGACCCTCCCCATCGCCTCCAGAATGGGACCCCTGGTAATAGCACCAGCCAGGGCTGCTTTACAAGGGCCAAGAGCGAGGGAGGAGCAAGATCCTGAAACTCTTGTGAAACCCCCCAGAGGAGAAAAAAAAACCTGACACTTTCTTAAATTGCTGAAATCCAACAAGGCTTTGGTGAGTCACACCCAGACTCAGCCTGGGACACGTGGCTCTCACTTGCTCAGACCCTCTCCTGGGGTGAGCGAGAAGGCATTTATTTCTCTGGCAAAGTGAGCTGTAAAGGAAGGAGAGACGGGGTGGGGGGCAAAAGAAAGAGAGATGTGGTACCAGCCCTAAAGGTAAAAAACAGAATCTTATTTGCAAAGGGCTGTGAAAATCAGAGGTGCAGGCTCCCATTGGGATTTATCAATGACCTCCTGGGGAGGGGCAGGATCAGTTAGGCAGAAACAATAGCACAGTTTGCATGGACTCAGCCAAGGAAAGCACACGCTGCACAAACACCAGCTGAGGGAAAAGAGGGAAGGAAATGCACTTCCTAGACAGACTGCTGCAGGATTTGGGGGGGGGGGGTACATAAGATAGAGCAGTTTGTTTCTTTACTCCCTCTGCCCCCACCCAGTACAGAGACCCTGCCTGGAGAAGGAAGAGGACGGCAGTTGAAATCTCCAGATGCTGATTCTGCCCTGACTTGGGGGATCCAAAAAAACTTTTGCAAGACCAGCAGAGTCGGTCAGATGCATCCTGCCAGCTGTCGCTGCTACAGCCCGTCCTGCAAGCAGAAAACTGTTAGCGACCGACAGCGCGCAGAAAATCCAGCTGGGAGATGGACAACAACCCCCTCTCCCTCCTTGGAGACCTGAACCAGCACTGGGCAGTGGATACGGCAGGAAACAATGAAAAACAAGTGACCCCCAGCGCTTGTACAAGACACAGGGATGTGGAGGGATGCATCTGGAAGTGCCTGTGAGGTACAGCAGCCTCAAATTAGCCCTCGAACTGGGCCAGAAGCAGGGACTACTCCTTCAGACTCTGTCCTAGAAGGCCACCCGTTCTCTGCCGGCTACGTTACCGCTTGGCAACCATCCCTCGTGCTTGCTGAGAAATGCCCGTGGTGGCCCTGATCCCGGCAAAGCCAGCGGGAGCCCTGGCTGTGCTGCCCCCAAAAAGGCTGCAGCTGCATTGCACGAGCAGGGGTTTCTGCATTGAGAGACTGGCCCTGCTCGAGGGACAGTCGCACCGCGTCGACCGGCCACACGTGGAGGGCTCCTCCATAGTGTCCCCAGCACCCCTCCGTCTCCAGCTCGGAGCTGGTTCCTGTTAACACGTGCAAATGCCTGAGAAAAGCCAGCTTTCATCCAGGGGTTAGAACTCAGCTTCTTCTGTTCCTCAACCGCAGCCAGATCTCAGGCTGTCTTACAGGCATCCCTCCATATAATCTGCTCTCTGCAAAGCCTTGGGCTTTCCAATCCTGCAGCTGCAGGACTTGAGGGCCTTTGTGACTTGTTAAAAAAGATTTGAGCAGCGTTGAGTATTTGGGGATATTCTTTTGCTATGAGTCAGAGGTGTTGTATGCTAGCAGCTAACTTCTGCATCAAAATTGTATTCATACAGACCAATTTTCATACAGACCAAAATAAAGAAAAAAGGCAAAACGGTGCGTTTTATACAGGGAAGCTATGGAATTAAATCTTTGTAAAAAAAAAAAGACCAAAATTCAATCAAATTTATGTTAAAAATGCCTTCCCACAAATATATCGGGGGGGGGCGCGCACATCTTATACACAGGAATGTTTTATATGCCAGGAAATACATTAATAGTAATATGGGGAATTTCTGGAGGATGGAGAAAACATAAGACTGGTCATTAGGGGAGCAGAGCTCCTGTCCCTTCCTTTGCTATGGACCTCAGATGAGGCTTCACTCTGTAATGCTCTGCTGGACGGTTATCTAGAAGGGCAAAGTCGTATGCGAGCACCCTCGAAGTTCCTAAAAAGTGACCCCAGCTTTTTTATTCTTGTTTCATTATCCTTCCCTTTCTTTCCTCTGCAGACCTATAAATAACTAATTTAAATGTCTTTGAAAAGGACATCAGAACGATGGCTGTTTCTCTACAGCAGTGGCTTTCAACCTTTTTTCACTTATGGACCCCTAAAACACTTTGAATGGAGGCGTGAATCCCTTTGGAAATTTCAAGTGGAGGTGCAGACCCCTTTGGCTCGGGAGCGTGGGTATTCACATACTTTTGATTGATCATAGTCAGCTTTTTGCAGACCCCTTAGACATAGTGTGAGGACCCTCAAGGGTCTGAAGACTACAGGCTGAAAACCACTGCCCTAGATACTTTTCTTAGCTGCTGACAGAGAAATAACATGCCACCGGCCTTGTTCCCTGCAATTTCTTGTCTTTTTTAGGTTTCTCTAATTATAGGCCTTTGCCTTCACTCCTTGCTCAGGCAAAACTCCCAATGCAGTCAGTGCTAGGAATAGTTTCTTACAGAAGATACCAAATAAGTACCATGTTTTCACAAAAAGCACTAAGACTTCAAAAAAATGCCTCTACAGTGTGTGTGTGGGTGCATCTACATGTGCACTTTACTGCGGAGCGGACTAATTAGCTCTGCAGTAAAGAGTCACCATTTACACATGCGCCCGTATTAGGGCGCAGTGAATTAACTAACTCTGCTGCAGGATAGTCCTGTCCGGGACAAGTCCAGTGGAGTAGTTAAGTTTATTGCTGTGTGCTAATTGCACCCTGTGCGTGAGCGTGTACGTGTGTGTATTTTGGTGACTGGAAGTCTTAGCTCAGGAAGTAAACACAATGCTGTGTGACCCTAATTCATTCACAAACTCATGCCAAAAGGCAGATTTCTGATGGAAATAGCAAGACACAGTTTCCCACGAGGCACCTGGAGATTGTGTCATCGTACTCAATTAATCTGCTACTTCCAGTCTAACAGGACTCTTGACTTTTGCCAGCTCCTGTTATACTGTAAATAAATCCCTCTCTGCAGCCGAGCGCACAAACGGTGCAGAATAGCTAAGAGCTAACAGTCCAGGGATCTAACCAGACTTCATTGGGTTTTACCCCATCTGCAGTAGCAGGTACATGGCTTCCCAAGCGTCCTTGCTGAACAGTGTGTGTCAGCGTAGACAGGACTTAGCTAGCAACCTCAACGTCGTCTGCTCTCCCCTGTGCTACGCTGATACTTTCCAAGTCAAAAAATGCCAAAATGTGACAATCTATAACGCTTGCTGCAGGTGCACAGGGGACTCTGCTGTGTCTTGGGTTTCTGCAGAGCTGAAATTCCCAGCAGCTTGTGATACCTCCTTGGAAAGAAAATGCCTCCTAAAATATATCTTCCCTTTGATCACTCATCTGATTTCAAGCTCAGATAGTGCCAAGAAAATGTAGGCAGCTCTCCACATGTCAGCTCGTTTTGTAGGTCAGCAGAAATACCAATTACAGTTGGAGATTCATACTCAGATATTTTGTTTCGCTCGCAGTGAAAGAGAACAGCGATACCAGGGTTTTGCCTGGTCAGAGAAGCCCATACAATGTACTAAGAGTATGGCACAGGCACAAGGAGACAAAAGTTTGACTTTTGATATTAATCAGAGAGAGACCTGAGATCAGTGGGATCAGGCGGAGAGGCTGGCGGGCTGTGCTACCGTAGGCACACCCTTGGCTGCCGTTCCACTGCGGAAAGCTAATCGGCTTGCCTGGCCAAAGATCTGGTGCAGAGAATAAAAAGCAGCGAAGCACCTTGCATCCAAATGCCAGCAGCAGAATTACACTGGCTGTGGCTACCCACATCCTCCTGTGGCATCAACTGTATGTAGTATTGCTCTTTGCTCCTTCGCCTAAAACTGCTGTGCAGCACTGATGCAGACCGCTAGCCAGCTGCTGTGCTCTACCTACGAGGTGGATGCATCTCAGCAGTCACTGAAAGCACAAGCATTTCATGTGCAATAGGATGAAAGGGAGGTATAGAAATGTAAGGGGGTATAATCATTCCCCCAGAAGACACTGTGTGTATTATGACACCTTGAAGTCTAATACGATGGATGAAATGTGTGTTAGAGCTTGTTAGGGATAAAGCACTGAGCACCTTAAAAGCAGTCCATTTTACTAAGAAAGGGAATTGCTTCCTATTTCATGCAAGTGCTACCTGCTTTATGGCAGGGGTGAAACTCCACTGAAGTCAACATTGCTTTTCCAGTCAAGACCAGCTGAGACTCTAACCCAAAACCACAGACGAGTGGGGGAGTGGGGTTGGAGAGGACCTCAGGGGGTCATCTAGTCCAGCCCCCTGCCCAAGGAAGGACTGTCCCTGACTAAACCTTCCCCATGTCTGTCTGACCTATTCTTAAAAACTTCCATTCTTATAATCTATTCTTATCCTTTGCAAGAGTAGCATACATTTCCACACATGCAACAAAGTCTGGTCCAAAGCCTAGGGAAGTCAGTGGAGGTTTCTCTGTTAACTTCACTGTGCTTTGCATCCAGTCCTTGCTCTAGCAAGCACACGGTTTGAATAGTCCACACCTTGACACGTGCACTTACTCATTCTTCTCAACATCCAGGATGAGGTCCTTTCCCTCTGCTGTGATCTTGACTTCAGCTTTGAATGGATGCTACATGCAACAGAGAAACTGGCTGTTACACAGGCAACAAAAAGCAGGATCAGGACATATTCCTATTTACATCAACAAGGCAAACTGCTCTATCTGAAAGCACAAAGCTCTCCTTGAACAACTCAGCCCTTCCTCTAGAGGTGAGCAGCTTACCTTCACCTGTTGGGTCAAGTAGGCAGGAACAGACTCCAAACGAAATATGATGTGGGTTATGCTTATAGTGATTTTGCAGTACAGGTAGGGAACATGCTTGGATTTCATGGACAGCTTCACCACAGGAAGAAGACAGTCTCCATGAAAACTCTGCTTGATGCAAACCTGCTACTACACTAAACCAAACGGAGGACACCTTCCATGTCATCCAAAGAGGGTCACCTTTATTTCAATGTCGTACTATAACCCCAGCATCAAATAGGGCTGACATCCTGCCTGAGGCATCTAGACTCATCTTTTCAAAGATCCTCACAGAGCTAGGTTTTCTCTTTCCAGGGAGTGCTAATGGTACCTTGGCACCCACCTGTACAAGGGACCTTTGGAAATCCCAGCCCACACCTGGACGGGGTCTCACGATGGACCTAGTATTGAGCACTTTCTACACTGAGATCTTAAAACCTAGAGAGCATCTTTCTAGAGTTAATGCCAGAGCCTGAGCTACAACACTGCTCTCCCAGCCTATTATTAAAGCAGTCTGCAGCAGCAGTCTTTAGCCTGAGAGCCACGGGCTACTTGTGGTGGACCAAGACCTGCTCAGTCGCCAGCAGACTTAAACCCAGAAACGTGGAGCTGGGTCATGCAGTGATGATGCTTATCCACGAAGGAAACTTTCACAAAGCGACCTTCAGAGTGAAACACTGGTGAACCATTGCTCTACAGCACATGAACCACCGATCTGACCCCTGTACAAGAGTCCACTATCCGGGGAAAGGGTGGGCCAGATCGTGAAGCTGTGTAACTCCTGATCTACAATACAGACTGCATTACACACAGTCTACTGGCAAGGGACACCATGAAATCAGCCGTCCCGGGGTGGCTGTGCTCAGGCACAACACTCTTTGAAGGTGCTAACACAGCTTCAAACGTTAGTATGAACAAGTCCTTATAACCAGATACTACTGCATTTTCTGGGCATAGAGACAGCCGAGTACGCATTCACTGGCATGCGTCATACCTATGGGGGTGGCAATGAGCTGGGAGAAGACAAACAGGTCTGTACGGACGTGACATCTCTTAGGGAGGATGTCTTTTCTGAAAGGTGTGCCAGTAATTGATCCGTTGTGACTATCTGCAATTAAAACGGGAGGATGTGGGAAAGGATTCGATGATTTCAAGCCCCCTGCTTATGAGACTGTGTCTGCTGCTAGTGATCAGGACTTGTGGTAGAGGTGGTCTCTTTATTAGACCCACTAGATTTTTGCAAAATAATTCTTCCATGACTTTCTACATGCATGAGATTTTTGCAAAAAAAGTAGATGTTTGCAAAAAAAAATTAGAGTTTCCAAAATTTAGATTTTCCAAAAAAATTAGATCTTTGCAAAAAAAAAAAAATTCTTACATGCATTTCTACATGCAATTGCCCTTGCCTCTGGACCAATATGGCTGCAATCTGGATACCTGCCACTAGTGATGAATCTTTTCTTGGTATTTTAGTTTTACATTTTAATTCATTTAAGAGATGAGAGAAGTACTGCTCAGTGCCCAGCACTCATGACTCATACATCTGCCGTGAAGGATGCGTCAACAGTCTGATAACACCATTTCTGATAACGGAAGTGGTCTTATAAAGCAAGAGGATAAATTAACTCAGAGCCAGGAGCTGTGCCATGATTTTCTCTTGAAGGAGGATGTCTGCTGGGGATATCAGGCGCTGTTGTAAAGGCATCCTAAGATGAGAAGTTGGTGTAGAAGTGACAAGGGGAAGCTATTTCCTCAGTGGTTTTGCTCAATTTTCAAAGGTATTTCACACCACGGAAACGGAGTGAAACACTGAAATGGCTACTGTTTTTGCCTATCGCTGGGCACGCTCATATGCCAACACTGGGCAACTTATTAAAAATTCCCTTTTCATGCCCACGTAGCAGGTCTCTGTGCTGATGTTCGGTCTCCTGTTAGTCCAGTGCCTGCTTGAAGACTACATGAGTCTTACCATTGGCTTCCATCAAGACTCTGAGTCAGGCTGGCAAAGCTGATGTGAAAGCAGACCAACAGGAACAAGCCTTTACCAAAGCATTTCAAAGGCCAAACCCAGGTTTTGCTGACAGCTCCAGGCACTTCTTGGCCCTTCTCAGGACCGGACCATTGTACTGCTAGTGACCTACACTGGGAACGGCTGCAATCCAGCACTTGATGTGCCTGCACGGCTGATGGTCCCCATAACATGCATCCAGACAGGACTGATTTTACCCTAGCCCTTTCCTTTTGTCCCTACCAATAATCCTCCTTTCAGGGATCTGTTATTGGAACTAAAAAACAGTTCCTTGAAAACAACGGGGCTTTGCCCGAGTAAAAAGCAAGGAAAGCCATCAGAGTCTGAGCAGATTTGCAGAAGGGCAGGCCTTGTTCAGGTGTATTTCTGCACTTTGAGGAGAGATCTGAGAATAAGAGAGTCACCTGGTGCACCCAAAATACACCGAGAGAGTGAAGTGGTGCAATGGGAAGAAGTTCAGGTGTTGCTAGGGAGCCACCACATCTCCTCATCCTCAGACCCCACATCTGGCTAGAAAAGAACCTGCTAAAAGGCCTCATGGCAAATTGGAGGGGAACTAAAGCCATTTTAGTTCCCCTCCATTCAGCTAATGAAAGTTTCTGGGCTCTGCAAAGAGCATTGTAGTGGGGAAGTCACACTTCACTTCCCTCTCTCGTTTCGCTTACAAGGAATGCGTTTACACGAGATGCTAATGGTGCAGTAGAATAATTCTCCTGTGCATTAACACAGCAGGCAAAACACACAGGAGAATTGCTCCACTGCACTTTAGCGGCACAAAAAAAGCATGCACTAGCACTACTTTGCAGCAGCCCCAATTGCGGCACGTTAAGTTAGTGCCTGTTGTTATTACAGGTACTAAACTTAAAGCACCGTAATTACGGCACGTGAATGAACACGTAGACATGCCCAGGCTCTATTAGCTTTGCTTCTTGGGAGCCCGTCCGTATGCGCTGGGAGGACGGCGGATCATTTTGTGCTAAGGCACCGCAGTTCAGAAGAACGGGGCTCTATTCTTCCCCAACCCAGGGAGAGGCGGCACAAAGGGGCTGCCGTGCGGACCGGAGCGCGGGGCTCGAGACAGACACCTCGCCGCTCTGCTGCCAGGTTTTCTGACATGCCCAAACTCAAACGTCAGCGGCATGTGAAGACCGCACGGCAAGCAAGAGATGCGTCCCGGCTGTTTCGAAAATATTTTCAATGTTCCCGATCTCTCTCCTGTCAACACGGGCGCGAGGCCTACCTTAGTGCTGCCGAGGCTTCCCACTGCTCTCCACCGAGGAACGACCACTTCGTGAGGAAACTCTGGGCCAGCTGCACTGGTTCCTCCTGGCAAACACAAGCAGCTGTTCAGACTCGAAAACAAAATCACCCAGGCTCCCAACAGCAGTTTTGCAGGGGGAAATATTGAGATGCATCAAAACCCAAAAGGCGGGCCAAGTTTTCTGGGTAGATGCGGTATCTTTTATGAGACCAACGGAGTCACTGGGAAAAAAGGGGCTTTCGTGGGCAGTCACCCTTCTTCAGGCACAGGGAGTCTCTGCTGGAAGCATGTGAATCACGTAGCTGTTAATTGCTCGAAAATTGCTCGGTTCATAACAGCTGAAAAGATGAGCTTTAAAATGGCACAGAGGTTTCAAGAGCTGCAGGAGACCTCGGAAGTAGCTAGTGCAAGGCTTCCCTGCGGGACACAGGGGTTATAATAAATCCCAAGCAGACACCCATCCAACCTCGCGGAGAAAACCTCCAGTGAAGGAGAGTCTATGACGTCCCTAAGAAAATTCCCTTGTGCTGCTGCTTTTACACTGAGGTTTTCTTTTCTTGAGGTTTCAGCTACGTCTGTTTGGCTGTGGTTAAACCACAAGACAATGAATTTCTATTAGGATCATAGATAACAATGAGGGTGGGAAGGGTGCTTAGGAGTCGCATCTAGCACCAGCCCCAACCGCATCACCCCAGCCAGCGCTTTGTCTACCCGGGACTTAACCTCCAAGGATGGAGAGTGCACCCCCGCTCCGGGTGACCTGCTCCAGCGCTTCACCACCCTCTTAATGAGAGTTTTTCTTAATATCCAACCTCAGCTTCCCTTGCTGCAACTGGAGCCCATTGCTCCTTGTCCTGTAAGACGCAGACGCAGACGCAGACGCAGACACAGAGGGATTCATTCTGCAAGTCACTGACCGCTCTGACCATGATCCATCACAGAAGTGCAAGCTTATCTTGGCGCAGAGGAGAAATCCCACGCAAGTTACACTGCGCTTAAAGCGAAATCCATGCTTCCCGAGACTGGGTGCCCTGTGGCGGGGCAGTGCCCGGTGCACCGGGGTCCTGGGATGAATAACACCACCGCGCACAGCGGCAGTAACAGGCTGGGCTGCCGGTGTCCTCTAGCCAGGCTGCCAGCCGCGCGCGAGCGGCTTTGCAGCGTCCCACCCGGCCGTGTCACCGCGGGGGCCGCGAGCGTGCGTGCAAGCGGGGAGAGAAGGGGGCTTTCATGCCCGAGGCGGAGCACATCCGGGGGCACACACAGGTGGGCAGAGACACACACCCGGGTACGCGGCCACGCGCAGAGGGATGCCCAGGCAGACACATGGGTGGACACACAGACACACGGACACGCGCGCCCACCTGCCCGCCGCCGCCCCGCGCTCACCTCGCCCGGGCGCCGGCGGCAGCAGCGCGAGCAG